AATACAAATCAAGGGTATGCTTAAATTATTTTGTAAATTAAAAGAAACTTGTAAAAAAATATATTTGATAAGTCAAGTTTTATAATTTAGTCATGTTACTATTTAATTATTAATATATATTTATAATTTGTTCTTTAAAACAGATGCTCTCAGACACTTATATTTATAATTTTAAAGTTAATCATATTCAAATATTGGATCTAAAAACCTCATATTGTCGCAATATAAGAGGTTAAGATAGTAAGTTTATTTAAACTTTAAATTTATATAATTACAAATCATTAAACCTATTGATTTATGAAATTGTCCATTTTATTCTGATTATAATAATGTTCAAATTCTCCATGAGGCAAGGAATTTAGTTAGTTTTGCTGATATAAAAGATCTTGGAGAAAAAGGTATTCTTGAAGTGAAAGATGTAGTTAGGATAAAAGGTTTTGAAAACCTTGTTGAAGTAGGAGGTCTTGGAAGCCTTGTTGGAGTAAGTCTTGGAAGCCTTATTGGAGTAGGTCTTGGAAGCCTTGTTGGAGTAGGTCTTGGAAGCCTTGTTGGAGTGAAAAATTATGAAAGTCTTGTTGGAGGTTTTGTTAAAATGAAAGGTCTTGTTGTAATTCAGGATCTCATTAAAATAAAATATTTTTAATATAAGAAGTTTTGTTAAACTAAAGTTGTGAAACTAAGTTTTTACTATTAAAAATATATTTATTAACTTCATTATTATTATTTTCAATATGATCATAATCAAAAATTAAATCATCTTCTGAACTATTATTCGCAACTGAGATACCACAACACTTAAAGGAATTTTTAATTAGCTGAGTATCAATATTATCCTATGCATGCTTAATTCATTCTGCAATTATATTATATGGAGGATGTTTAATTTGTCCAGATTCAGTTAATTCTCTTATTTTTTGTGATATCTATTCATTATATATAGTTCTAATCTATTGATAAAAAGGTGTATTAACATATATTAACTATAAAAAAAAAAAAAAAAAAAATAGAAAAGAAACACCTTTGCTTTAAACAGTTTGTTAATTGATATATCAAGTGATTGAAGTTTTAATATTAATCTCCTAGAAATAATTACAATATTAGTGCTTTTGTTAGCAAGCTTATTTTTAATAAAAGAAACTAAATGATACTGAAAAGAATTTATTATTAAAAGTGACTGCAGATTCTCAGAACTTGGTGTATGATTTTGCCAAATCTTATCTATCTAAAACTTATTTCTATTTCATTCATCCATCTACTTGCATTAGCTCTAATAACTACACCTGATGGAAACTCAAGCTGTAGAACATTCTTTAATTTAAAAAATGATTATTGGAAGTAATTTTGTGCCATCTGCTAAACATGCAAGTACAACAGTAAAGCAAGATTTTTTATAACCACAAGTCCTAATACTAATAGTTTATTTCCCTTATCATCTATAGTTATATTACTTGGCATATCAAAAGAAAGAGGAGTCTTATCCATATTGCCCATTAATTGTAACAGATAATTATATTGAATATAGCAATATTAAACAAAATTAAGAAATTCTTGTCATTGTATTTCTAAGTCTGCTAGTAATTTTTGTGCAATAGTTGTTCTATGATAGTTACTAAAATTATTATGTCATAAAAAACTATCAAGCCACTTGTTACTCTACTTAAAATTATTGATATTAGAATAGTGAAGAATATATTTTAGAGATTTTGCAAATGATATAGCTTTATTTTGTATTATAATACAGCTAACTGGTTTTAATTTGTTACGTAAAGCTTGAACCTATTCAGCAAGTTCCTCTTTGAGTTTAGAATAATTTGGTTAAGCACCAACATTGAGACATTTAATATGAGGCTGAGCTGACAATAGCTCTTTTTGTTTATTTTTCCAATCCTGAATTTGCTTTGGTTGAACTTGAAATTTATTTGCTGTTCCACATATAGTAGCTCTAGGAATTCTTTCAAGATAAGAAATTACAAAAAGTTTTTCCTGAGCTGTCTACTGTCAGTATTTTTTTTGCTGAAATCTTGTTGTAAAAATACTTTTCAGAAGAACTATAATGTTGAAAATAAGTTTTCTTAAAGTTTATGCTTATGATAAGTTTTTAGTATAAAAAAAACAAAGTCTTATATATTATATTTTATATTTACATTTTATATTTACATCTTATATCTTATATTTACATCTTAAAAAAAAAAACATAAGTAGGTTTGGCGAACTTAGTGTAGTAGTTAGGTTGCCAGACCGTTATGCAAGAGGTCTGGGGTTCAAATCCCACTGTCGACGAATTTGAATAATTACCCAGATCTTTGTACCCAACTTACAGTAAACTTTATTCATTTCTGGGGTTGTAACTCTGTAAATCATATTGCACCAATATCATCTGAATATTGGAAGTATGATGAGGCATTTGGCGAGACATAATGTTATATAAATAAATCTTAATAGAATCTATGGGCAGGGGACCTACATAGTAAAAATCCTAAGTTGGTGAAGTAGTATAGCTTTCGATAGTCATACTGGCTAATGCTTAATCCAAAAAGAAAACTATTGTCAAAAGATACAGATCGAGTCAGGTACACATAAATCTATTCTACTGGGAGAATCAGTAACACCAACTTGGCTTGGCGGCTAACTAGATTGGAAGGATCT